ATATTTTTCATAATATTACATTATTTTGAATGTATATACAAAAATATTAAATAATTTGATTATTAACCCTTCGATATTATCCTGTTTTTTCTTTCATTTGCTACTTTACAATAATATTTAGCAACTTTATCCATGGTGTAACTTCTATTAATATTATTATTATTTTTTTAGTGCAGTCATAAACCCATTAGGACCAATGGCATTCTATGCCATCATAGCAAACCAATCTTTAAGGATTTTATTTAAAAATGAAAAGTTTTGTTCTTTGACCAACAGCAGTGCTGCTAAAGCTAAATAATCAAGATTGTCAATGGTGGCGTGAGATTAGGGTTAGATTGTGATGTAAACAAATATGCATTTGGTCCTTTATAGCTTAAACAAGCATTAACAACAATTAAACAACACAAAATGGAATTCAAATTATTTTCCTGTGCATAAAGTCTTCATCTGTTAGATTGTGTAATTACAAGCAAACATGCCACTAATATACTAATTCGCTGTTTGGATCAAGAAGCAAATTAGTGTTTTCACTTTACAAAAAACAAAACAAAAAAAAACAACAAATTTAGATATTCTTTAACTTTATATCTGCTTTTAAATTTTTCAGTTACACAGAAAGTAGCAAATACAGAGTATAAATAAATGTAAGAAAAGCAACCGTTATACATAAATACAATGGAAAGGCGTATGTGTAAATGAGAGGTCGCATTACGCCCATTCAGCTAGTTCCTATTGAGCAGTGTGTGGCTATTTATGTTCTACAACTGCCCCTCCCTGGAACAACTCCCTCCCCCCATAACAAACAGAACTCTAGGGCCTGATCATTGCTGTGACTGTTACAACCCTTTAGTTCCACCTTAATGCAAAACAACACAATACCATATTATATTGTACGGCATCATTCAATACAATAGCAAAACATAATAGTTAATCATACAAAACAGTTTCTTCTTTGATGCCTAAGCTACCATATGTTGTTCCTTGTTGATTAGACTTTGCTTTTTTCCGCACTGGCATCAACCCCATTGAACTCCTTTGGAATGAATTGGAATGTCTCCTGTAAGCCAGTAGGCTGAATGAACACAAATTCTCACAGACACATTCCAAATTCTTGAGGTAAGCCTTCTTAAACAAGTGGCGGCTGTTACAACCACAAAAGGAGACGGTCATGGGGCGGAGACTGGCAGCACACAGAGACGAACACCATTTCTCACTTTTCCGACAATCCCAAATATAATCTCATCTCCTACACTAGAGATTCCCGTCATCCGAATGTGTAATCGCCCACACCATGCTCAGGGCACCGCACTGAATACGCATATGCCTTTCATTTACTCCCCTGGTGTAAAAACTCAACACTTGGTGCTTTGGGCCTACCGTGCAGGCAGTCTGTAGGCTGCATGTGTCTATTTCTGGAAACTAACAGAGCAAAGCAACTGCTTACCTGCTGGAAGATCTCCTGTGAAACCTGCTGGAGAAGAGATAAGACAAAAAATGCAAAAGTCTTATCTGATGGCTGCTAAGGAAGGCTGGGATATCAGCCAGTTGCTATTCTCTCCAAACAGTGCTAAACTAATGGGCAATATCAACTCACAAGATGAGGGAAGGTTAGACAAGAACTTTGCCTTCCGTAACATTGGCAACAATGGCGAATGTGCAATCGGCACCAGATGAAGATGCCCAAGTCACTAAACGCGACATACAAAACTATTTGAAGTGGACTTGGCTGTGGTAAAGGAGATACAGGCAGTTATGACATGTACAAGCTTCAGAGGAATACATACTAGTCTTGAGACAAGGTCTGGCTACACTGGGAGAAATGGTGCAGCAATTAAGGTCAGCGCACACACATTTATCCCTAAGGGTAGACTAGCTGGACGACAGGGGGCAACAATAAGAATCTCAAAATCAACATGTTTTTGGCCATATAATGTAAATCTGTCACCTGCTTTATGAGAAACTACCCTTCTGGACTCACATCCTTCATATTTTTTTTTTTCTTCTTGTATTGCACTACCAAATGAAAATTGAAATAATAATAAAATAAAAAAAATGTTCAGCTCCAGACTGGAATATCTTGTAGATCTCTGTCATATAACGTCACTAGGCAAAATTTTATTTCAATCTATCTTTGGTCATGTAAGTAAAAAGCATTATTAAAAGTAATAAAGTAGGTTTATTTTTTTCAACCTAGTAAGTAGGCTTATGACACAGGATTAAGTTTGGCATTTCTGTGATTCTTATGTCTTTTGAGGAATTGCGCCATCCAAGCTTATTGTATTCTTTTAGTGAAGGAAGATGAACACTTTAATGCAAACATTCTACTGGGAACTGGACAAACTGAGCATTTTACGAGGACAGGGGGATTTACTTCTACACTTAATCAATAATGTCCAAATGTAGAAGCACAGTCCATTAGATTTGTCACATACCGTGCTGAATTTTCTAATTGCTAGAGAAGTCTAGTAGGATTAGAGGGCTCATTGCACATGAAAACTATTAGTAAAATAAATGTTAAGATAATATCTTCCCCCAACCTCTCTTTCACAGTAGACTAAACAACTTGCAGATTTTAGGACCATATAAGAAAGGAAGAGAGGTGTTCTGATGGTATTTAAGCAGAGCTGATTTGCAATCTCAATTATTTAATCAGACCTATTTAGGTAAATATAAGATCCATCCATTCCCCAAATTTAAAGCGATATCTTACTCAGATTAAACTGTGGACTGTGGATAGTTTAAGCATAAACAAATATATTTTTATATATTGCACATTTTCATTTTTCTAAATTAAAATAAAGATCAGAGTTTACATTTTATGTTAAACACATATAGCCACTTTTTGTAACATCTACCCTACAGGGGTTGAATAACCATTCAGTTATCATCATTTTTTGAGTGCTAGGAATAATCTGTGATCCTCCATCAATGAGAACACTTTGAATACTTAGCAAAAATTTATTTTTTTATATCTTCTAATGGAGCTTCATCTAGTTTTCAAGGATACTCACCACTTCTCCAACTGTTGCAGTGTCGTCATGAGCACACCTCCCTTGGGCACTGCCTTTTTGTGGGAAAGCCTTTAATGGCTTTCCCATGCCATGCCTCTGCTGCCATTTATGTGATGGCTCACGGTGATGGCACAAGCAGGTGGCAATGCAGAAGCTAGGACATCACCTATGCCGTAGGTGGGCGCAACTGCATACAGACATCGGCAGATACACAACAAAAGCTGAAAACTAAATTGTAGCAATTACGGTACTTGGAGTGTTCCTGTAAGCAATTAATTTATAATGGAAATAAATTATATATTTTATTTCATTAAGAGATGTTAGTAAATACTTACTTGCTATCCCCAACAATGATGTCTCCATCACAGAAGGTCTGAGCGCGTTGTACTAATGCAACACTCACTTTCTGCTCCTGTCTATGTTCCTGATTCTGTACTATGTGATTGGTTTTATTTGGGAACACTTCTCCAAGCAGGACACAACTACCCATGATGCTGGTACACTGGCTGTATCAGCATCTAAATGGAATGATATTGCTCACCCTGTTCCTATATACTAGATCAGGGGTGCCAAAAAGGTAGATCCCCAGATGTTTTAAAACTACAGCTTACATAATGCTTTGTCATGTTCTACAACATCTGGGGATCTACCTTTTGATCACTCCTGTTCTAGATGGACTTGCTGGACGAATAATCACAGCAAAAACAGTTTATGAGATGTAGCAGCTTAGATAGAAAGCAGCAGAGCCATCTGTAGCAATGTTATCCTGCTCGCCCCGTCACTCATTTCTCTCCATAGAGGTTTATTCCGTTAATATAGCCCTCAATGCCAAGAACTGATTGACAGTCAGGGAAAATGTCTTTATAGAGGTTTAGTGAAAAATCCAGACATCTGATAGTAATTAAGCTAGCACAAAGTGCAGATGAAAGGTATTTCTTTATCTGTATACCATGAAAAAAACACGTTAAAGTAAAAAACAAAACAAAAAAGAAACAATGAAAGTCTACAAACAACATAAAAAATAAATAAGTCTGGAGCCTTCTTTCCAGCAGGCTTGGGAGCTCCAAGCTTAAAGATACACTATAGTTACCAAAACAACTTTAGCTTAATGAAGCAGTTATAGTGTATCGATCATGCACCTGCAGTCTCACTGCTCAATTCTCTGCCATTTAAGAGTTAAATCACTTTCGTTTCTGTTTATGTACCCCTAGCCACACCTCCCCTGACTGTGACTAACGCAGCCTGCATGAAAAAAATTGGTTTTTACTTTCAATCAGATGTTATTTACTTTAAAGGTTGTTATCTCCTGCTCTGTAAATTGCACTTTAATTACATACAGCAAGCTTTTAACAGAGCAGGAGATAAGATATTTTAAATTAAACAGAATTTACAATAAAGGAAGTATATACATTAGATGACTCTTTACAGGAAGTGTTTAGGAAGGCTGTGCAAGTCACATGCAGGGTGGTGTCCCTAGAGCTTTTTAATTACAGCGATTTTACTGCTAAATGTCAGAGGATTTAGCAGTGAGACTGCAGGGTCATTATCTATACATCAAAATTGCTTCACTAAGTTAAAGTTGTTTTGGTGACTATAGTGTCCTTTTAAGTTGTCCAGAGAGACTATAACTAGCAAGAAAAACGCGCTTATTGCGAGACAGAAATACGATCTGCACTAAGCATTACAGGATGGCTCCAGCAAAGACCATGGAAAATAATATAACTAGCAATAAAAATGCGCTTACTGCGAGCCAGGCCGGCCTTAGGGGTGTGCAAACTTGGCGCCATGACAACAGGGGTGCTATGGGGTCGCTGACAGTTCTACTGATAGGCAGGCTGTTTTAGGAATTGCAAGGTGCCAGGAGGCTCCTCTCACCTTGGAGATGCAAGACTAGCTGAGCTCTCCCTGTAGTGTCTTCCCTGCTGTTAGTCAGAACGGTTCGCCGCGGACTTATCATTGAGTAAACTTTGACCCTGTACCTCACAGTCAGCAGACACATTCCAGCCAATCAGCAGCAGACCCTCCCTCCCAGACCCTCCCACCTCCTGGACAGCATCCATTTTACATTCATTGTGAAGCTGCATTCTTAGTGAGCTGTCCAGGAGGTGGGAGGGTCTGGGAGGGAGGGTCTGCTGCTGATTGGCTGGAATTTGTCTGCTGACTGCGAGGTACAGGGTCAAAGTTTACTCAATGATGAGTCCGCGGCGAACCGTTCGTGGCGAACCGTTCGGCGAACCATTCGAGACATCACTAGTGATCATAGATCATGACCTGAAGGGCGGAACAACATCTGTGCCCGAGAGATTCCAGACTCGGTCTAGCAGGAGGCCCTACCGACCTATCAAAACTGGACATGCTGCTAGGTAGGGTTCCAAAGCCCCAAAATTTCACAGCTAAGGTGCCAAGAGATGTGGTGTCCTGCTTACATTATTATCATGTTAAAAAAAGTAATCATGACAGCAGGTAGAAAGAAGCATTTCTTCTTTTTGTATATGTGCAATGTTTTGCTACTTTATGGACTCTTTAAATATGTTCGGGAGAAAAAGACCTTTTAAAAACGCATCTGCATTCCATTAAAAGCACACCTGGACACCTGGTAGATACCAATCTTGGGCTATCTTCGAGGTTTATACGGAGAGATGACACCCAACCACATGGACCTTGGCCATTATCTAATAATCAATCTGGAGTACATATGATGTTATTCCTTGGACAACTGGAGGAATATTGCAAGGTTACATTACTGTAAGGTGACAGATAATGGGGAATAATTGTATTACTACACATGTGGGGCCACTTATTTGCTTCAGATCCTTAGTATGTTTATGTTTATAATTTATTGCTACAACTATATGACACAAAAATGAGGAAATTGGGGGGCGGAACCTGACCACTGAGCCGAGAGGATGTTAGCTCTTACAGCTCCTGCTTTGCAATGCAAATAATGCGTAATTCCAACACAAAAACGGGACCCAAACTACACAAAAAGGCCACTTGGTGAGAGGTGACATTCAGGGGCACACGATGGTACCACATAAGCCACGTTTGAAGCACTACTCACCTGACTCTCTCATGTGGCCTACAAGCTTGGTCAGCGCTCTGGAGACGGCAGCTCCACAGCCGACACATACGGCTGTAAACTTGAAACGAGGCTCACTTTTCCCCCCTCTCTGGACCGGTGAGGGTCATGCTGGTCCACCCTAAGGAGAGAGCGCGGCAATGTCACAGGGGGCCTGAAGATGGCAGAGGCTGCATGCTCCCTAGCCCTGGATGTGAGAGGTCTGAGGTGGAGCTCTGACTGGACAGGACCTTTCAAGCATCATTTTGGGAGAAGTTAGAGGCACACCTACATCCAGTGGTCTCGGAGAGCACACCCGAAGCCCCACCATGAAATCCCTCTAATAAGGCCGACAGAAAGACCGCCACAACATCCCTGACACAGGCACTGCCAAAGACCATCGTTGCAGGACTGTGCTTTGCCCATGCAGGGCGCAGGCTGATGGGTAACACGAGTCAGTCTCACTCTGGCATGGTTCCCTTTTGTTGCCTACTTCTCAGACACTGATTGGACATTTGCTTTGAATGTACACAGCACCCTTCTTTTCAATTTAAGTCTAAAGTGCAAGATTGTTTTTCTTATTCGTTACTGACTTTGCCTACATTGTCCTGCGTTATTCCTAAGCACAAAGCCTTTGCGTGGCCTCCTGGAGACTTTACCTCTAACTGTCTTTAAACTGCATGACCTAGCCTGATTTAGTGTTTCTAGAAAAGTGTATCATTACCCTTGGTTTTATCCTTAGACGTTACTCAGTCTCTTGTGTTATTATTATATATAAAAATGTGCAGACCCCATCAGTAGTCTCAGTGTATATTCCTCAGTGCCATAACTGGTAACTGGCAGGTTTTATTTAATCTATAATGGTTTCCCTTAAACTGTACTCACCTAGTTTAGCTAATTAAGCCTGATTTATATGTCACCTAACCTGCCTATGTTCTACGTGTAAAATGCCTGATGGTTAGACGTGTTCACCCAACCTGTTTGTACTGAAGATCACTCATTTTCTAAAATCTCTGTATTATTTACCTAATCTACCCTTCAAGTCCAAATAGTCTGCCTAGTTTTGAGCCTTCACTTCAATTTAGCAACATGGACGCACATATTTAGCCTGTAATAAGCTTGTTAATAACAAAAATGTAAACATTACGTATGACTTACCTTGCGCTTGCGCTATTGTGGCCTTGCAAGGCTATCTGTACTTTTCTGCACACAAAAATAAAGATTTTTTTTTTTAAATGTGGAAATATGCAAGGAAGCATGGGTGCCATCTGGGGCGTTAAGAAGTGACAAATCTCGAAATCCGAATTTAGTCCGTGGGGGATAAGTGTATTGAAATTAAAAATGAACCTCATTTCCTCTTCAAGGATGCGTTCCACCCCGAACCCGGAACATTGGTAACTGTGTGATGCGTTCCAGCATACACACAGTGCATCCTAACATCGACTCCGCACAACGTTCTGACATAATCGCAAGAAGACGGAAGTCACCAACAGCTGTGAGTATTCAATTAAGGACACATATAAGACCAAGGGACAGAGAGGATCGGACACACAGCAACTGAGGAAGCCTCAAGAAGAGGCAAACCACGTATTGTAAGGATTTTTACTCCAATTTATTTTCTTGATTTCTCTGTTATTTTTGTCAAAATAAAGTGATACTTAGACCACACTTGGCATCCAGTGGATTCATATGGGGAGGCGAAGGAATGATCACTAACACACAGAGAATGGGAAGGGATCCCTGTAAATATCCCACCAAGCCTATTAATTGAGCCCAAATCTCAGTGACTCTTCACTTGTTAGTACATTGATGTAAGACTTACTCATTTTCACAATTTTATTTACAGTGTTGCCCTAGGATATGGTTACTTTTGTATTTCAGTAACGAATACGATTGTCGTACGGTAATTTTTTTCTCTCTGACTTTAACTTAAAGTAATAATTTTCTCTCTGACTTTTTAGCCCACTCTTCTCTACAATGTTGCTTTAGTTCATTGAGGTTTGCTGATATTTGTTTATGCACAGTTCTCTTACAGTCTTACCGCCACAAGATTTCAATCTGGTTCATTTCTAGACTATGACTGGGCCATTGAAACACCTTGATTTGTTTCCCTTTTAGCCAGTGGCGTCTCTAGGATTCATTTTTCGGGGGGGCACATGGAGGGCCAGTGACAAAAGTAGGGGGGCACATTTAACCCCGCCCTCGTCACAGTTTGACCCCGCCCCTGTCACATGTTAAGCCACGCCCCCGACACAATGTGTTTTGTTTTTTTAATAATACCTGGTGGAGGATTCATTATTTTCCACCAGGGATTATTTAAAAAAACAAACACATTATCCTTGATACAGTGCCATAGTTGCCAACATTTGGAAAAAAAATTCCAAGGACGTTTTGCAGCACAGCTATCAATTACTGTCTGGGTATAATATCCCTGGACAGTCAGTGCTCTCTGTATAATACAGGGTTGTGTGTATAATAAATTGGGACACTCAGTGCTCCCTGTATAGTGCTGCTCTCTGTATAATACAGGTCTGTTTGTGTATAATATCCCAAGACAGAGAGCAGCACTATACAGGAAGCACTGACTATCCCGGGATATTTTATACACAAAGATCTGTATTATACAGATAGCTGAGCATAAACCCCAATCTCTAGACTACTAGTACCTGTCAACAGCAGCTCCCAGACGCATGTAACAGGGCTAAAGTGTGCGGCAGCTCACACAGATTATTCAGCGGTAAAGTGCACTCGCTGGCAGAGCCAAACTGGGAATCCAGGGCTAAAGTGTGCGGCAGCTCACACAGATTATTCAGCGGTAAAGTGCACTCGCTGGCAGAGCCAAACTGGGAATCCCTGGGAATCCAAAGCAGCCCGTATGCCATTCCCACAAGTCATACATACATATACATATATATATATACATATATATATATATATATATATATATAGATATATAGTACAGTAAGCACACAAGCTCACTGACATGCGCAAATAGGCTTACTGACAGACAAAACTCTCTGACTCACACACAAGCTTACTACAGACACTCACTTGTATAAACAGAAGGCTCACTACAAAGAAGTTCAGGGACACACACACAAGCTCACTAAAGACAAGCTCACTGACACACACATGCTCACTAAATAGAAGCTCACTGACACACACAAGCAGTACCATTTTAACAGAGTTAAGGGCCCCTGGGCAAAGCAATGCACTGGGGCCCTTCCTACACAACAACTACACACACACAGACTGCTGAGTCCATACACATACACACACAGATTGCTGAGTCCATACACACACACAGATTGCTGAGTCCATACACACACACACACACACAGACTCTGCTGAGTCCATACACACACAGACTCTGCTGAGTCCATACACACACAGACTCTGCTGAGTCCATACACACACAGACTCTGCTGAGTCCATACACACACACAGACTGCTGAGTCCACACAAACACACAGACTGCTGAGTCCATACACAAACACACACTCTGCTGAGTCCATACACACACACAGACTGCTGAGTCCATACACACACACACACACACAGACTGCTGAGTCCATACACACACACAGACTGCTGAGTCCATACACACACACACACACACACACACAGACTGCTGAGTCCATACAGTGTGTGTGTATGAGGATAGTGTATGTGTGTAGAGTGTATTTGTACGGGGGGGCAGAGTGTGTGTATGGGGGGCAGTGTGAGAGGCCCCTTCCCTTTCTTGGGTTGGTCCATGCTATCCTGTGCAGACCTGGCCATTATGGGCATCGTCAGTGGTATAAGTCACTTTATTGGTGACACCACACTCAGGCCCACCATTTGTGCCAATCTGCATATATTTGAATGTTGTGTGATATGCTATAATGCGGTTAAAAATTCATAAGTACTTCAATAGATGCCAGTAACTGATGATTAAGAAGTCATGTGAATGCATCAAATTGGTTGGTATCAAAAATATAACTTTCTAAGTATTTAGTGGGCATGAATTAACCAAAACTTGGCCCTATTTAGTAATTGACAGTTCATGTATAGAGATGTCGCGAACGGTTCGCGACATCTCTATTCATGTACTGTTAGTGCCTTCCTGTATACACTGACATGAATATACCTTGATTTGGTGTTACATAGAGTGTCCTGTTCTATCCAAAGCTCCAAAACATCAACCCCATGATTCCATTATTTTGCTTTCTGGACTGCCATTGCTTTGTTGTCTTGAAGGACTACTCCGAGCACCAAAACCAGTTCATGTCAATGAAGTGGATATGGTGCCCAGAGTACACCAGCACCTTCTTACATTTAAGTGTTAAAGCATTTTCAAATGATTTAACACAACTGCAGTCGCCCAGGCTTTGGTCTACCTTCCTCTCTAGTCATGTTCACTTGGGCAGATAAGCATGTACTTTGAGCCTGGAGTGGCCTTTAACCCTTTATGGCATTAAAATTGTAACCGCTTAGGTAACGCTAAATAGGAAGTGAAAAGGTGACTCCTTTCCATTTCCATCTGGAATCACTTGATGTCTGAATTGAAAATCTACATGCTCAGTGGTCAGGAATTTTTTTTGTTCTAGATCAGGCATAGGCAACCTTCGGCACTCCAGATGTTTTGGACTACACCTCCCATGATCCAGTATTATGGGTGTAAGAGCATTATGGGGGATGTAGTCCACAACATCTGGAGTACCGAAGGTTGCATATCTCTGTTCTATAGGCATGTGCATGGGGAAAATTTTTGGTTCGGTTTGGCATTCCGAAATTCGGGATTTTCGAAATTCGGGACTTCGGCAATTTGGCACTTCAACACTTCGGAACTTCGGATTTTCGGCACTCCAGCACTGTGGCTGCTCACTGCTTAAAAAAAATAAAAATTGCCCCCCTGCCCCCACCCCTGAGCGGCGGGTGGGGGCCCTAAAGTAAAATGATGGGGGGGACCTATTGTCCTCCCCCTGGCCCCACCCCTGAGCGGTGGGTGGGGGCCCTAAATACTAATAAAGGGGGACCTATTGTCCTCCCCCCACGGCCCCCACCCCTGAGCGGCAAGTGGGGGCCCTAACAAAAAAAAGTTCCCCCCCAGGTGACTAGGGGTCCCCCAAACCCTAGTTACCCCCTCTACCCCCCCAAAAAATATCCCCCTACCTAGCCCCTCACCCTAAAAATAATAATCTTCTTTTTTCAGCCCCAAAAAAGGCCAAATAAAAAACCATAATAACCAACGCAATTTAAAAAAAAAAAAAAATCCATCTTCACCCGGCGAGGGCTTCACGCAGACTGTGCTCTGCAGGGCGGGGGAAGGCTTATAAAGCCTTGCCCCACCCTGCAATTAGGCTCAGAGCACTTTGATTGGTGGGTTTAAGCCATCCAATCAGAGTGCTCTGACAGGTAAATGAAGGGACTGACAGGTAAATCTCTACATTTACCTGTCACAGCACTCTGATTGGTTGGTTTGAAATTCACCAATCAGAGTGCTCTGTGTCATTTTACACAGCGTGGGAAAGTTCTTTGGAATTTTCCCACGCTATGTAATTTGACTCATAACTCTCTGATTGGTTAGGGGGGACCTTTTTTTTGTTTGATTGTTTTTTAACAGTGAGAAGCCACAGGCTAATGAAAACATATTGGGGTGTTCTTTGTCAGTTACACATAACAGGAACTGAGAATTCATGCCTAAAGTACAATGTGAGAGAAAAATAACACAAACAAAATGACTACCAAAAGTTTGAAAAAGACTGGTGGTAGAATTAGTGCATTGAAAGTGTTAAAATACCACCATCTGAAATACCCTAGGGTGTCTACGTTTCAAAAATATATGGTTTGATGGGGGTAAATTACATTGTCCGGCTTACAAAAGGTCCCAAATAGGACATGAGTGCATGATGACCAGCTGTAAAAATTCCAAGTTTGAAAACTGGAGTGCGCACCCTCCAAATAAGGTATTTTAGCCCCCAGAGAACTCGACACACCTATACATGGGGGTATCACTGTATTTAGGAGAAGTTGCTGAACACATATTGGGGTGTTCTTTGCAGTAACCCTTAAAGTTCTACGTACATGTATTCTTAAATTGCTATGTGTGTCAAAAAAAATCACCAATTTTTTATTTTTAATTTGCCATAGATTGGTGTTAAAATGGTTGCATGAAAAGAGTCAAAATACCCCAAGTATAACAGATTGTCTTCTTTTAAAAAATATACACATGTGAAGGGTTATTCAGGGATTCCTGACAGATATCAGTTTTACAATGTAACTTGCATTAATTTTGAAAACAAATTTTTTGGAAATAGCAAAGTGCTACTTGTAATTATAGCCCTATAACTTTCCAAAAAAAGCTAAGAACATGTCAACATTGGGCATTTCTAAACTCAGGACAAAAATTAGAAACTATTTAGCATGGGTGTTTTTTGGTAGTTGTAGATGCATAACTGTCACATCCTGTTCTTCGCTGCGGATCATTCTGGCTTCTGGTATCCAGTACTCTTTTTGCTGTCCTTGCTTGGTTTTTCTGGTTTTCTGGTCTATGTCTGGTTTTCTTTGTTGCTGGGTTTCTGGGTTCATTCTTATATTCTGTCCCTGGATTTCCCAGTCTCTTGGATTCACGTAAATGTTTGTTTTATGTTGCCACACCCGTTTGTTTTCCACTTTCCTTTTGTTTCAGCTTGGACCTGCAGCAGTATTTCATGTCTCTGCCCCTTCTTGCAGGTAAATGCTATTGTGGTTTAGTGTGGCTGTTTTAGAATACATTAGGCAGTGTAGGACCTGCCAGATATGGGGTACATTGGCGTTGTTGGCAGGCTTGTGCAATGTATGATCATATAATGTGACTAAATCCCCATACTTTTCATAATTGGTGCTTAGCTATGTTTCCTTTTGTTTTACCTTGTATCTCTTGTCTTGTAATCCCAGTCCATGTACAGTCATGCCCTTGTTATGTTCTTGTTTTCCTCATGTCTTGTGTACATGTTCTAGGTTCTGCTTTCTGTCCTGCTCTGGTTCTGTGTTCTCCTAGTTTTGTCTTTTCATGTATGGTGCCTATTTCTAGTCTTGCCCTGTTCTCCTAGTTTTGAATTGTTCTCATGCATGGTGCCTATCTCTAGTCTTTCCTTGTTCTCCTAGTTTGGTCTTGTTTTATTGTATGGTGCCTTGCCCTCCTAGATTTGCCTTGCTTCAGTATTGGATACATCCCTGCTGCAGAGCCTCCCTATTCAGCTCCTGGGAGGTCTGCTTAATTACCTGCTCCTAGTTCCTGGGATTAGCATAAGCTGAATCAGGGTTCTGGTATGTGGCTGCACAAACGCTGGTGCTAAACACCAGTGGGCGTGCAGTTGCCCTGCACCAGACTCTGCTAATCCACCTCCACACTGTGACTCCTACTCTGAACATCAGGCATATTGGTCTGGGTCCCAGGCACCGGACCGCCACCCTGACAGTAACATATTTTGCAGGTCAAAGTTAGAAAAACAATTTTTTTTTTTCCATAATATATATATTTTTTGTTATAGTAAATTACGTGATAGGATTAAAATAATGGTATCTTTAAAAAGATAATTTAATCGAGAGAAAAACTGTATTTTTAATACGTGTGGGTACAGTAAATGAGTAAGAGGAAAATTACAGCTCAACACAGACACAGCAGAAATGTAAAAAGAGCCCTGGTCCTTTAAAGGTAAGAAAATTGAAAAACGGTTTGGTCACTAAGGGGCTAAAAAATTTTTTATTTTTTTTATTTTCCGCTCTGTAAATTGAACTTTAACTACATAAAGGAGGCTCTTGCAAAGTCTAGCAAGCTATAAACATATAAGGAGATAAGAAATTCTAAATTATATGGAATTTGCAATAAAGGAAGTGTAAACATTAGATGACTTTTTACAGGAAGTGTTTAGGAAGGCTGTGTAAGTCAAATGCAGCAAGGTGTGACAAGAGATGTGTAAACAAAGTGATTAAACTCTTAAATGGCAGAGAATAGAGCAGAGAGACTGCAGGGGCATAATGTATATACCAAAACTACTTCATTAAGTTAAGGTTGTTTTGGTGACTATAGTGTCCGTTTAATCATAAGGCCTGCTAAAACTAACACTTGGTTCTCTCGAACCCTAATATACTTAAATATTACAACATCCCTACAATGATTTTTATAATATAGCAGCTTAGATAATTTTAAAGTGTATCAAAAGTATGAATGTGTATATAAAGACCTCAATGACAATTTTAAAGAATTGCTTTAGAGTTAATTAAAACCTGGAAAAAAAGCATGAAACTAAAAAGCATAAGGGTAATATAGAATGTCTGCAATAATTTCCTTAAGTATTCCCTATGAAAATGCATGAGGAGCAAGTGAATGCATTCCCTGGAGCAGTGTAAGTAGGTGTCATGCATATATATACACACAAGGTCGCTTTCCTGTGTTACCAGGTTCATTCATTGAATCTGTGATGTCAGGAGGGAAGTGCTAACAGTGTTCTTTTAGAAATGGAGCATGAACTTAAAAATATTGGAAAGTGTTTGAAATCACTGTTTTTTTTAAATTATATTAAAGAATATTTTAAACTTCCGCCCCTTACCTCTTAACCACTGTTTTTGCTG